CACCTCCAGGCTCCACACTCTCAGGCTCAGCACCCCCAGGCCCCGCACCCCCAGTCCCCGCACCCACAGGCTCAGCACCCCTAGTAGCACCTGAGTCGACAGCTACCTCGACCGGCTCGGCAGGGTCTACCTGGGACACACCTTAGGGGGCAGGACCCTGAGGGGGGAGGGGGTCTACCGGGAGAGTACCTGGTGCGAGGAAGAGCGGCGGGGGGGGGGAGAGAGGCAGTGCGGTAGGGAAAGAGACGGTAGTACGACACCGACTCGTCAAACGTGATGTCCTGAGAGGACAGAACACGACGCGAGGTGGGGTGGTAGAACTGCCACCCGGGTGCGTCAGGAGGGAAGCCAAGGAAGACACAGGGAACGGCACGGGAGGACAGCTTGTCCGCTGTAGTACCGCGGACAAAAGCTCGAGATCCCCAGACACGGAACGCGGACACATCGCCAACCTTCCCCGTCCACCGCAGAGTAGGTGTGGTCTCCGGCAAGGAGACACAAGGCTGAAGGTTGATCTGATGCGCAGCGTACTGAACCGCGAACGGCCACAGAAAATGGGGAGCAGCCGCATGGATCATGGACGTACGAGCGACGTCCATGACCATGCCAATGCGGCGCTCAGCAATCCTATTTTGCTGCGGGGAGGCCGGAAGCGTGAACGTCTGGCGGATGCCCTCCGAACGACAGAAGGCCCTCAAGAGGTCGGAGGAAAACTCCCCACCTCTGTCTGAGTGCAGACGCAGAACAGGAAGGTCCGAGCCGAAACTCTCACTGAGCTGGCGACGAGCACCGCGGATCCAGTCGATCAACACCCCAGGGACCTCACCCTTGCTGCGCAAGGGGAAGACTGTGGTGTAACGCGAGTAGTCGTCAACGACCAGCAGGAAGTAACGCTCGTGACCCTGGCCACGAACGCGGGCTGGGCCCCACACGTCCATGTGAAGAGTCTGCAGAGGAGCCTCTGTCGGAGGGAACGAGGAGGAGTGAGGAGCGGCGCGCTGCCGGCCCTCGACACAAGGAACACAGGTGGGGGCAGGCCCCGGAGGAAGGGGAGGGAGGGACCTGGGGAGACCAGAGACAAGGGCACAGGAGGCCATACCTCGAAGACGAGGCAGGGAGGGGTGACCAAGGCGGTGGTGCCAAAGGAGAGTCTCGTGCGACAGAGGATGACACGAGCAGGGGGCAGACACAGGACTAGACCTGGACGCGGCTGCAAACACCTGACTAGATGCAGCTACCTGACCAGACGCAGGGACCGGAGGAGGCGCAGTAGTCAGTGTGTACAGACTCGACCCTGGCCGACAGGTGAACGTGGCCAGGTGGCGGCCCGTCCGAGAGCAAGTGCAGTGGGTCACACGCTGACCTCCAGGGGTGAACTGGTCAACCCACGCGTCCTGAAGGTCAGCTCCACTCACCAAGTTCGTAGAGAACGAGGGGAGGTGGAGTCCCGACAGCAAGCCCGACGGGGCCGCAGGACACGGTAGAACCGTGGAGGAGTGTGCAAGGACTGGGCCCCCAGAGGGGTCAGCAAGGGAGACCGCAACAGGCCGACTGAGCGGCGTGATCGTGGTGCCGTCTCTAAAGAAAGAGCGCGAAGCACCAGAGTCAAGTGTGAAAGTGTGCAAGGACTCAGTAGGTGCAGTACCAGAGAGAGTAGACGCACCAGCACCTGGAGCAGCAGACGCACCAGTACCTGGAGAAGCAGACGCACTAGAACCTAGAGCAGCAGCCGCACTAGCACCTAGAGCAGCAGCCGCAATGCCCGGGTCGGGCGGGACACTCAGGTAACAGTCACCCTCAGCACTATCAGCAAGAGCATACATGGCAGCAAGGATAGCATCAAAATCTAGATCAAAGATAGGCACATTCTGCAGAAGCAGATCATGCCAGCGAGGGAGCTCAACGGCGTCAGGAAACTGGGTACGCCAAGCGTCAGTCAAGCGACTGAAGCAGCGCTGCGTGGTGTGTGGGAGCCCACACACCTCCCCACTACGAGTGCCGGTGCGAAGAACGTAAGTGCAGGGACCTGCACTCCCAGACCTCCCACGCCCAGCGTACCACTCACGAAGCTGCTGAACCGACGGGGTCTCACGGGTGCGCAGCTGCTGCTGGCGCTGGCTGCCACCAAAGCCTTCACGCTGCGCGGCTGCACCTCGACAAGCACCACCGCCGCCTCCACCTCCACCACCGCTGCCACTGCCTCCACCACCTCCGCCACCGCCGCCACAACCTCCACCGCCGCCACTGACGCCCCCACTCCCGGTACCACCCCCACCTCCACCGCCACCTCCTCCGCCGCCTCCACCTCCCCCACTGCTTCCCCCGCCGCCCCCTCCACCACCCTTGCTCCCCTTGCCCTTGCTGTTGCGGCGTCTCCCACTAGGGGCAGACGCAGCTCCGACCTCCTCAGTGCCAACGAGGTCGACAGCAGCAGCAGAAGCAACAGAGGGGAGAAGGGGGACAGGGGAACACCCCTCAAAGAAGGGGGTGCGACGGTCGCCGCGAGAAGCACCTAAAGCTAAGATACTCTTCTCAGCTGCAGCAAGGCGCTCCTCTAGCAGGTCGACAGTCAGCTCGGTGGGGCAAAGGGAGAGAAAGTGGTCCCTGACTGAAGAGAGGGAGTCAGGGAGGCGGGTGACTAGGTAGTAAAGGGTGATGTACATGGGGGGGGGGGTTCTTGGCACAGAACTTAGTGGGAAGGGCAGCGCGGTAGCGGGCGTCACTGGTGCGAAGGTGAGCAACTAGGTCAGCAACTGTGGCAAAGGCAGCAAGGTCAGGGAAAAGGTACGGCAGCATGAGGCGGCTGAGGGCAGCAGTGGCAGGGGAGGAGTAGCGCGCAACTACAGCGTCGTACAAAGACTGAGCAGTCTTGTACTGGCCAAAGTGTGCGCGCTCAGCAGGCGGCAGGTGACTACGAACAGCAAGACGAGCAACAGCGTCACGAGTGGTCCACTGCGAGCGAACAGTACTATCAGCAGTGGCAGCAGGAGCAGTGGATACACCGGACGTGTGATCGAAAAGGGATACCCCATCCCTAGAATCACACTGAAGAAAGAGCTGTAGGTCGTCAACCCACACGTCAAAGTCAACTGCACGTCCCTCAGCATCAACGGTGAGAACGGTAGGACTAGCCATAGCAGCAGTAGGAGCAGTAGCAAGAGTAGCAGCAGTAGCAGCAGTAGCAGCAGTGCTGCTCGGTAGGGCAGTGCGGCTCGGTGGGGGCGGCGCGGCTCGGCTGAGCGGCGCGGCACGGCTGGGCGGCGCGGCTCGGCTGGGCGGGGCGGCTCGGCTGGGCGGCGCGGCTCGGCTGGGCTGCGCGGCTCGGCTTACCAGAGACGGGTGCGGGGGCGGGCCGTGACTGCAGGGGCCGCGCCAGTAGGGGCCGGCTGGGGCTCGTCAGCAGGGGCCGGCAGGGGCGCGGCAGTAGGGGCGCGTCAACAGGGGCCGACAGAGGCGCGTCAGCAGGGGCCGGCAGGGGCGCGCCAGCAGGGGCGCGTCAGCAGGGGCAGGCAGAGGCGCGCCAGCAGGGGCCGCGCCAGTAGGGGCCGGCAGGGGCTCGTCAGCAGGGGCCGGCAGGGGCGCGCCAGTAGGGGTGCGTTAGTAGGGGCCGGCAGAGGCGCGTCAGCAGGGGCCGGCAGGGGCGCGCCAGCAGGGGCCGGTAGGGGCGCGCCAGCAGGGGTGCGTCAGCAGGGGCCGCGAAGAGCCGCTGAAGGCGCCGCGAAAGGCCGCTAAGGGGCCGCGAAGAGCCTCGGAGAGGGCCGCGAAGGGCCGTGAAGGGGCCGCGAAGGGCCGCGAAGGGCCGCGAAGGGGCCTCGAAGGGCCGCACAAGGGGCCGCGAAGGGCCGCGAGGGGCCGCGAAGGGCCGCGAAAGGGGCCGCGAAGGGCCGCGAAAGGGGCCGCGAAGGGCCACGAAGGGGCCGCGAAGGGCCGTAAGAGGGGCCACTAAGGGCCGCGAAGGGGCCGCGACGGGCCGCGAAGGGCCTCGAAGGGCAGGCGCACGGGGCGCAGCTAGGACAAACGCGAAGTGCGCTTCGGGCAGGTAAGGAAAACAAAAAAAATTCGTAGTGGTGGGCCCTAAAAAGAAACAGTCCCACTAGGGAACCTGCTCTATACCATGTGAGAATAATGAGAGGAATGAATGAACTAGGAAGCAGTTGGGTACAAGTAAGAAACCTAAAAGTGTTGTACCCTATAAGAACTACCCCACTACAGCCTAAACATACTATAGCATATATAAGTTTGACACACTCGTGACGCTGTTGCTCGTCTTGCTGTTCGTAGTCACCTGCCGCCTGCTGAGCGCGCGCATTTTGGCCAGTACAAGACTGCTCAGTCTTTGTACGACGCTGTAGTTGCGCGCTACTCCTCCCCTGCCACTGCTGCCCTCAGCCGCCTCATGCTGCCGTATCTTTTCCCTGACCTTGCTGCCTTTGCCACAGTCGCTGACCTAGTTGCTCACCTTCGCACTAGTGACGCCCGCTACCGCGCTGCCCTTCCCACTGAGTTCAGTGCCAAGAAAACCCCCCCATGTACATCACCCTTTACTACCTAGTCACCCACCTCCCTGACTCCCTTTCTTCAGTCAGGGACCACTTTCTCTCACTTTGCCCCACCGAGCTGACTGTCGACCTGCTAGAGGAGCGCCTTGCTGCAGCTGAGAAGAGTATCTTAGCTGTAGGTGCTTCTCGCGGCGACGCCCAACATCCACATTCTTGCCACCACAGCAGCCAATGCCAAAACATGTGCTTTGGATGCCCCACCTGTGTGTTGTTTGGTACAGGTGTTCCATCTCGACGCGTGTGAATCGGGCAGTATATTCCAGGTCCAGGGCCTGCTTTCCCCCAACATCCACATCCGCACCTGCTCTCCTCCTGTCCTTGCACCCATCAGGTGTTCTACCTGGAAGCATGTGAGTCAGGCAGCATATTCGAGGGGCTGCTGCCGCCCAACATCCACATCTTTGCCACCACAGCAGCAAATACTGCCACCTGTGCCAACATATGTGCCTTAAATTCCCCGTCCTCCCCATCCCACAGGTGTTCTACCTAGAAGCATGTGAGTCAGGCAGCATATTCGAGGGGCTGCTGCCGCCCAACATCCACATCTATGCCACTACAGCAGCCAACGCGGAAGAGAGCAGTTGGGGCACGTACTGTCCGGGGATGAACCCCCCTCCGCCCATTGAGTACGAGACGTGCCTGGGGGACCTCTACAGCGTTGCCTGGATGGAGGACAGGTGCGTTCTTCCTCCCCCTCCCTTCCCTCCTCTTTCCTGCTCTTTTCTTCTCGCTCCTCTTCCTCCCGTTCCCTCTGGTGCTGTGTGCTGGGTGTGCGATACACGGCAGCCAATGCGGAGGGGAGCAGTTGGGGACGTACTGTCCGGGGATGAACCCCCCTCCGCCCATTGAGTACGACACCTGCCTGGGGGGCCTCTACAGCGTTGCCTGGATGGAAGACAGGTGCGTGCTTCCCTGCCCTTCCCTTCCCTCTCCTTCCCTTCCGTTCCCTCCGTTTTTTCTCCTTTCCCTCCCCTTCTCTCACCTTTCTCGCTTCCCTCCCATCTCTCCCCTACCACGTGTCTTTATCTTCCCATTCCCTCTGCTACTGTGTATGCTCGGCGTGTACGTGTCTCTGGGTGACTCTGAAGAACTGGTGCCTATCACAAGATATTGCTCAAAATTAGTATTTGGAGGACCCCTACAACATTTCTTGGATGGAACACAGGTTTGAGCGTCTTTAGCCTTCCTGTTTCAACCACCCCCTCCCTTCCTCTGCTCTTTGTATTTAAGGTGTCGCGGCCCGAGCCGTTTGTCTCTCAGAATGTGGCTATCTTTGATATTGATTTCGATGCTATCCTTACTGCCATGAATGCTTTTGCTGATAGTGCTGAGGGTGACTGTTACCTGAGTGTCCCGCCCGACCCGGGCATTGAGGCTGCTGCTCTAGGTGCTAGTGCGTCTACTGCTCCAGGTACTGGTGAGTCTGCTACTCCAGGTGCTGGTGAGTCTACTCTCTCTGGTAATGCACCTACTGAGGCCTTGCACACTTTCACACTTGATTCTGGTGCTTCGCGCTCTTTCTTTAGAGACAGCACCACGCTCATGCCGCTCAGTCGGCCTGTAGCAGTCTCCCTGGCTGACCCCTCTGGGGGCCCAGTCCTTGCGCACTCTTCCACGGTTCTACCGTGTCCTGCGGCCCCGTCGGGCTTGCTGTCAGGACTCCACCTCCCCTCGTTCTCTACGAACTTGGTGAGTGGAGCTGACCTCCAGGACGCGTGGGTTGACCAGTTCACCCCTGGAGGTCAGCGTGTGACCCACTGCACTTGCTCTCGGACGGGCCGCCACCTGGCCACGTTCACCCGTCGGCCTGGGTCAAGTCTCTACACACTGGCTACTACGCCCCCTCCGGTCTCTGCGTCTGGTCAGGTAGCCGCGTCTAGCCAGGTGCTTGCTGCCGCGTCTAGCCAGGTGCTTGCTGCCGCGTCCAGGTCTAGTCCTGCGTCTGCCCCCTGCTCGTGTCGTCCTCTGACGCACGAGAATCTCCTTTGGCACCACCGCCTTGGTCACCCCTCCCTGCCTCGTCTTCGAAGTATGGCCTCCCGTACCCTTGTCTCGGGTCTCCCCCGGTGCCTTCCTCCCCTTCCTCCGGGGCCTGCCCCCACCTGTGTTCCTTGTGTCGAGGGCCGGCAGCGCGCCGCTCCTCACTCCTCCTCGTTCCCTCCGACCGAGGCTCCCCTGCAGACTCTTCACATGGACGTGTGGGGCTCAGCCCGCGTCCGTGGACAGGGTCACGAGCGTTACTTCCTACTGGTCATTGACGACTACTCGCGTTACACCTCAGTCTTCCCCTTGCGCAGCAAGGGTGATGTCACTGAGGTGTTGATCGACTGGATCCGCGGTGCTCGTCGCCAGCTCAGCGAGAGTTTCGGCTCGGACCTTCCTGTTCTGCGTCTGCACTCAGACAGAGGTGGTGAGTTTTCCTCCGACCTCCTGAGGGCCTTCTGTCGTGCGGAGGGGATCCGCCAGACGTTCACGCTTCCGGCCTCCCCACAGCAAAATGGGATTGCTGAGCGCCGCATTGGCATGGTCATGGACGTCGCTCGTACGTCCATGATCCATGCGGCTGCTCCCCATTTTCTGTGGCCGTTCGCGGTTTAGTACGCTGCGCATCAGATCAACCTTCAGCCTCGTGTCTCCTTGCCGGAGACCACACCTACTCTGAGGTGGACGGGGAAGGTTGGCGATGCGTCAGCGTTCCGTGTCTGGGGATCTCGAGCTTTTGTCCGCGATACTTCAGCGGAAAAGCTGTCCTCCCGTGCCGTTCCCTGCGTCTTTCTTGGCTTCCCCCCTGATGCACCCAGGTGGCAGTTCTACCACCCCACCTCACGTCGTGTTCTGTCCTCTCAGGACGTCACGTTTGACGAGTCGGTGTCTTACTACCATCTCTTTCCCTACCGCACAGCCTCTCTCCCCCCCCCACCACTCTTCCTCGCACCAGGTACTCCTCCGGTAGACCCCCTCCCCCCTCAGGGTCCTGCCCCCTGAGGTGTGTCTCAGGTAGACCCTGGCAAGCCGGTCGAGGTAGCTGTCGACTCAGGTGCGGGTACTGGTGCTGAGCCCGCGGGTGCGGGGACTGGGGGTGCGGAGCCTGGGGGTGTTGCGCCTGAGCGTGTGGGGTCTGGGGATGCTGAGCCTGCGGGTGCGGGGACTGGGGGTGTGGAGTCTGGGGGTGCTGAGCCTGGGCGTGTGGAGCCTGGGGGTGCTGCGTCTTGGAGTGCTGAGCCTGCGCGTGCTGCGTCTGGAGGTTCTCCGGGTGTCCCGTTGAGACGGGAGCCCCTCTCTCCGCAGCGGCTTCGTGAGTGGTACACTCGGCGCTGTCGCCGTGCTACTGGAGCTGTTGGAGGTGCTGCTGGTGCTGGAGCTACTGGAGGTACTGCTGGTGCTGGAGCTACTGGAGGTGCTGCTGGTGCTGGAGCTACTGGAGGTGCTGCTGGTGCTGGAGCTGGTGCTGGTGCTGGAGGTGTTGGAGGCGCTGCTGATGCTGGAGCTACTGGAGGTGCTGCTTGTACTGGAGCTGCTGGAGGTGCTCGTACTGGAGGTACTGGAGCTGCTGGGGCTGGTGGTGCTGCAGGCGTTGGCGCTGCAGGTACTAGAGCTGGTGGTGCTGAGGGAGTTGTAGCTGGAGACCCTGGAGCTGAGGGTACTGGTGCTGTCTTTGCTGTTTCAGGAGGCGCTGCGCGGTCGCGGCTGTACTACGCTCCACTCCTTCAGCAGGTTCTTGGTCTACAGCCTTCTCCTGGTCCTCCTCCTCCTTTCCTGAGTCCACCGCCTGTCCAGTCACAGTCACAGTTACAGCCGGCCTCTCCCCTGCCTGGTCCTTCTCCTTACTCTGGACCGACTAAAGGTCTTACGGAGTGTCGTGCGCCTGAGTCGCGTCCTGTGTCGCCCGAGTCTCGTCCTGCGTCACCTGAGTCTCGTTCTGAGTCGCCTGACCGCACTGTTCGCGCTGGTCGTCGTGTTACGTGTCCGCGTCCTCCTCCTGTCCCTGGCACTCACTCTATGACTCTGCGTCCTTCCTCTGCTCCACAGCGTGTCCCTCTGCCCTCTCCTCCTGTGTCCTCCCTTCCTGACGGTCCGGACCCGGAGTCTGACTCCTTCGTACTGCTAGTCCTACTGTCTCGCGCTTTCTGGCCACTGCTGTCACTGACCCTTTGTTTGAGTCCACTGCTGCGTCTGCTCTCGTTGCTGAGCTTGTTGACTTTGCTGCGGCCTATCGCCTAGACTTCGCCACTAGTCTTGTTGCTGAGTCCGAGTCTGCGTCTGTCTGTCCTCCGTCCGTCGGGGGTGAGTGTGCTCTTGGCACGGACGTTCTTGAGGACAGACAGGAGGAGTTTGAGTGCTTTGCCGCTGCTTTACCTCATCTCGTGTCCATGCTGCTTGCCCCTGAGGGAGACCCGGATGCACCAGACATCCCGACCCCGCGCTCTTACGCAGAGGCGATAGAGGGTCCCTACTCCTCTCAGTGGCAGGCAGCCATGGACGCCAAGATGGCTTCCTGGAAGTCCACAGGCACCTACGTTGACGAGGTTCCCCCGCCTGGGGCGAACATTGTCAGTGGCATGTGGATCTTCAGGGTGAAGCGGCCGCTGGGTTCTCCGCCTGTCTTCAAGGCGCGGTACGTTGCACGTGGCTTCAGTCAGCGACAGGGAGTTGACTTCTTCCAGACCTTCTCCCCTACCCCGAAGATGACCACTCTTCGGGTACTGCTGCACGTTGCTGCTCAGCGTGACTACGAGCTCCACTCGCTTGACTTCAGCACAGCCTTCCTACAGGGCAGCCTGCACGAGGAGATCTGGCTGCGCTGCCCACCTGGCTTCACAGGGTCGTTTCCTGCTGGTACCCAGTGGAGCCTCCAGTGGCCAGTCTACGGTCTCCGCCAGGCACCCCGTGAGTGGCACGACACACTGAGGACGACTCTTGCTGCTCTTGGTTTTGCTCCTTCCACTGCTGACCCTTCACTGTTTTTACGCACTGACACCACTCTGCCGCCGTTCTACGTTCTCGTGTATGTAGACGACCTCGTCTTTGCTATTGCTGACCCTGAGGCACTCGCCCACGTGAATTCTGAGCTGCAGAAGAGACACACGTGCACAGACCTGGGTGAGCTGACAAGCTATCTTGGCTTGCGGATCACCCGGGACAGAGCACAGCGCACCATTACCTTGACTCAGTCACACATGGTGTAGCAGGTCCTTCAGCGCTTCGGCTTCACGCACTCCTCGCCACAGTCCACTCCTCTGCCTACCGGTCACTCGCTCTCAGCTCCACCTTCGGACGAGTCCGTAGAGCCGAGTGGCCCGTATCCAGAGCTTGTGGGCTGCCTCATGTACCTGATGACTTGCACACGACCTGACCTTGCATACCCTCTCAGCCTTCTGGCTCGCTACGTGGCTCCCGGTCGACACCGAAAGGTGCACTGGGATGCTGCGAAGAGGGTGTTGCGCTACCTGTGCAGTACGGCGGGCATGGGGCTCGTGCTTGGAGGACGGGCTCGAGTTGTCCTCACTGGTCACGCTGACGCTTCCTGGGTTGACGACTTGGCTACGCAGCGGTCGTCACAGGGTTACACTTTCAGTCTTGGTTCCGGTTCTGTCTCTTGGCGGTCTACCCGCTCTTCTTCTGTTCTCAGCTCCAGTTGTGAGGATGAGATCTACGCTGGGGCCATGGCTGCACAGGAGTTACGCTGGCTCACCTACCTGCTGACCGACTTGGGAGAGGCGCCTCGTTCTCCTCCAGTTCTGTACGTCGACAACAAGGCCATGCTGGCCTTGTGTCAAGAGCACAGACTGGAGCACAGAACGAAGCACATTACTCTGCGCTACTTCCTGAGTCAGAGAAGGGTCAGCAGTGGAAGGAGCAAAACCAAGAGAAGCAAGATTCGTCCTGAGTGTGTCGTGCCACTCACGGGGTGCCTGGTGGAGACCGTAGACTGGCCGCCGGAGGCTCCACTGGGTATCTGCAGGAAACGACCCAGTGAAGCCAGGTGGGCGGGGCAGCCAGATCTCCTCGTGCAGGCTGCCCTGCAGGAAGGCTGTGCTGAAGTCAAGCGAGTGGAGCTCGTAGTCACGCTGAGCAGCAACGTGCAGCAGTACCCGAAGAGTGGTCATCTTCGGGGTAGGGGAGAAGGTCTGAAAGAAGTCAACTCCCTGTCGCTGACTGAAGCCATGAGCAACGTAACGCG